ACCAAGTCAATAGAGAGCTCAAGCTCTCTCTAGTGGCAAACATGATACTTCATCTATAAATACCTTAAGAAACTTGTTGACAACTCCAATCTTGTCTAATGCATCATCATACACTTCTGTACTTAATAGAACACCATGAAGGCTTGGCATACTTCTTTTACTAATTGCTCCACTTGTATCGTTGATAGGAACTTGAAAGTCTTCGAAGTAGTCATAGGTACAGGTGGTGCAATTTTGTCATTCACTATAATCACTGTGTACACCATTAATGAAACTGTCTTCTTGTTACATTCTAAAGTTGCTCCATTGACAGATAACTAATCCATGCCAATTATCACATCAATTATCGACATGGGCAAATAGATTAAATCAACACTTGTGATTATCTCACTAAATTTCAACTCTACTTTCAATCAAGCCCAGCTAGTTTCCATTAAAGCACTAGTTGGCATAGACACATTCATCAAGAAAGGCATTTAAATCACATGTAGACTCAAGCTTTTCACACACTCATAAAAAACATACGAGTAAGTGGCATTAGAGTCAAACAAAGCAATAATTTATTGATTTCTTAAAGAAATCATACCTCAAATGAGCTTCGGGAAAGCTTCAGCCTCCTCTCTTGTCGTAGCAAACACATAATTAGGAATAGCAAACCTCTGATCAATGTTAAGAGCATTCTCCAGGCAATATCGAGCAATGTGCCTAGCCTTGTAGCACTTAAAACTAGTCCAACACTCCCCAGTATGGTGTCTATCATACTTGCTGCACTGTGGGGCTTTAATTGATCCAGCTATAATAGGAGCAGAATCATGTCTTGAGGCTTGACTTGGCCCAACCATATTCCTAGAGGCAATACTCCTCATCCGTAAACCTGTAGACTAAGAACCCTTCTGAAAGCTTCTTGCACCCAGGTGTCTGATTTTGGACAGACTGTCCGATCGAGTCTAAACTTATCCTATTAAAATAAGTTTTGTGTAGATGCTTGAATCACTCCAATTGAACATCTAATATGGAAACGGTGCGTAGTGAGAGTTCACCTGTTTAATTGCCATACGACAATAGATTTTGTTGTCATATATGTTGTGGCCAATTGTGTGCCATACCATGATGTATGGCATAGAGAAGAATAAAGCACGTTATTTTATACCACATGTCGTGGCATATGGTGGCTTAAGTCGTGGCACATGACATTTTTTTCAAGGGAAAACTGTTGTGCTTCATTAAGTCACAAAATTGCATTTGTGCTTCTGTTAGTCCTCTTATTTGAAGATATGTTTTACAAAGTCATGATCTCGCATTTTGAAAACAAATTAAGGGCTTTTACTCTAATATTATATTATAATTGTATTGCTATGTTTGTGATTGGAAATGGTAAAGTTTATTCGAGAAAAATTTAATTGTGATAAGTTAATATAATGTGTGATTATCGAGTTAATGAGTTGTATGGCTAGAAGGGCCTAATTGATGTGAATTATTGTAATTTTAGCCCTAACAGTAGGTCTAGATTGATAGCGGGCCACCTGGGCAAGGAAAGAGAAAGAAAAAGTAAAGGTTTACCTTTTGTGCCATGCGCCGCGGCGGAAGGTTGTGTGCGCCGTGGCACATGGTCAAAAATCTACTTTATTAGATATGTTTCTATGTGAAAATTAGAGAAGAGCAAAAGAAGAGAATGAAGAGCTCAACCAAAGCTCTGCTAGGGCACATTGTTGGATCACATTGAGGATAAATTGAAGCTCTTAAACACCTAAGGTAAACAATCTATGCCTTCTTCTTCCTTTCTCTCCCTCATTTATGGAGATTTAAGTTAGAGTTAGAGTTGAAATTTTTATTTTTGGTCTATAGGAGTATGGGTCTATTTTCATTGATTCAAATGGGTATAATGAGAGTTGTTTAAGGTATTGGAACACGACATTAATGGTTGTGAAAGTGGTTGGTTCATGGAAGTAATAAATATCCAAAAATTGACATAAATGAGGTAGTTGGGAGAGGTTTATGTTCATTAATGGTGGTTTGAAGAGTTGTTAATGATAATGTGCATTAATAGAACCTAGTGGACCCATTGTGTATGAATGGGTAGTGATTTAAAGATTGATAGAATAGAGTGTATGGAGATTTATGTTGGTAAATCCTTAAAAATAAGGCAATGATGGTATTAATTGCTTATGAATGTAGTGTGGTTTATTTGGCACCATTTAAGCTTAGGAGAAGCTTTGGAAGTGTTTTTGTGTAATGGGTAAACCTTTGACCTCTCAAAAGTTGAGGTAATCAGGGGAAACCTAACTCTATATAGTTAAATATTAATTAGTTATTTATTAAAAATGAGTTACTTGAGATATGATTTATATTTTAAACCCTTGATATAAATTTGGTTGCTGTTAATGTGAATGTGAAAATGCTATGTGCGCTCATATATATATATATATGAGAATAATGATGATGGTTTGAGAATAATATGTTATTATAATGTGTGATGTAAAATGATTGAGTGAGTGAGAAAAGTGAAATGAGTTATGATATGATTTGTGATTGAGTTGCATAATATGTGATAACATGCCTAGCACGATCATTGGTGGGAGTTTGCCTAGGGAGAGGAGTAAATTGATTTAAATCCATGTGGTATTAGTAGTGACTGTTAGAATCAGGAACTTTCCTTAGCACCGACCGTTAGAATTAGGAGGTAGCCCATATCTTATGGTTGATTTAGGATTGTCTCACTTGTTTTACAAGAGATTCAAACCTAATTAGTCTTCATTGATTCATAAGGAGGTTAGGTTAGAGGTACGACACCCCATGGTTGTTAGTATTAGGGAAAATTGGATTACACAAATAAGTGAGTTAACCCTGGCCCAGTAGCTCTTTACAAGTGAAAGGCTAGATTAGTCCATGAAGGACGTAGCCATGTGATAGCCACCGATTTTGTCTCAGAGGTAACAGGAGGGTATAAGGTTGGCATTTGATCATGCATATAAATTCAGCCACATGATTTTTAGTATTGTAGTCCGGCATGTGTTAGGGGCACATGGTTGGTATTATAGTGAACCCATGTTGTGCTTTACAAAATAACATGATTACATGTGTTTTGGGTTCGGTTACATGGTTGTTAGTTTTGTAAATCATGGCCAAGTTCCTCATATGTGTTATATAGTGTATTTGCCTGTTTGCATCTATTTACAATTAATATGCAACTATATAGATTAGGTGAAACTTAGTTATTAAGTGGTTGTACTCACCCCTCAATTCTCAATATTTTAGAGCCTAGCTCATCAGATCAGAGTCGGGAAAAAGCACTTCGAAGTGTAGGATTATGGTGAAATCCTACTTTAATGCCTCTTTACTTGTGTATTAATGTTGTGTAATTGCCAATTAGGTCACATATTATTGTTTTTGTACTACATGCATTATTACATTATATAACTTGTGTATTTTGTGCCCTGGGTTAATGAGTTTTGGTTCTAAACTTGTGGGTAGGGTCAAAATACTTATGCAAGTAGGAACATGTGAATTTTGAAAGATTTGGAATGAAAATGATGATTTTGTGCAACAATTTTTCTCCCTTTTGTGTTTTGTAAAAATCAGGGTTGAGTGGTGAATTTATAATATGTTTTTTTGATTATGTGTGGTGTATTGCAAGGATTTGCTAGAGTCCACTGAATGTGATTGGATAGTTGGTGTAGGCTTCTGGCATGTGAAGTTGAATTAGGACACTAAAGTTGTGAGATTTTTGTGAAAAAGTGGTAATATGTGCGAACACTGTATTTTGTATGGGTATTTTTTTAAAATTTAATAAAAACAATAATAAATAACCAAAAAAATATAAAAATATAAAAATAAAATTTAATCCTTTTTAGGATTATATTTTCATAAAAATAATTAATACGGTTTAATTTTATTTTAGATAATCTTTTGTTGGTTAGGATTTTGTTTCTTTTAGTTCATTAAAATAAAAAAAATAAAAACACAAAAATAAAATTTAATCCTTGTTTTAGGGTTATATTTTCAAAAAAATAATAATAATTTAACAAAATCAAAAAAATCTTGTTTAAATCTTTTAAAATCTCTCCCAAATTATCCTAATCATTCAAAATATTGGGAATCAATTTTGTGAGAATCAACTATTTTTTTATAAGAAATTCTTTCCTTAAATCTTGTTGCTTTCCATTAAAAAAAGAAGAAGAAGAAGAAGAAGAAAGATATTCTTGCATAGTTCAAAATTAATTTTTCTCTCTCTTAATTTAATTTTCAAATTTTAATTAACATAACATAAAAAAGAGCATTAAGCATAAAAAAAATAAATATGGGATGATCAGCGTTTCACCCACACACCTAAATGCTTGGCACCTTACAGGGAGAAACAAAAATGTATAGAGCAAGCCTTACAACAAAAGCAAGAATAGCAGAAGCAAAGAGCAAACATGAAGGTACAACAGCCCTAAACACACATGAAAATGCAAAAGAGGAAAAAGGTAGAAGTGAGTAGGCTCGGACCATACACGAGCGAAGGAAGCAAAAAACACAGTCACGCACACAGAAGGAGCACACACGAACACACGAAACACAGAAGCAGAACTAGACACACTAGTTGAAGCACACACATGAAAACACAACAGAAGGGGCAGTAAGCAACCATGATGTGCACACACAGACTTTCAGAGGGCAGAGAGAAAACACCAGCAAAAGAGAAATAGAACACAGCAAATGTAAAAAAGATATAGATGCATGTTATAGAAAAAGGCAAAAGCAGAGCATAAATGCAGCATGCACGCAAGTGGAAGGAAGAAAAGGAGGAAAGAGATGTGTACAGCAAAAGGGAAGCTTCAGCGATAAAGCACAGAAAAAAATTAGATCAAAATGAAGAGGAAAACTAGAGGAAGGAAAGAGTTGGGGATGGACAAGAAAACAAAAGAAAAATAGAGCACAGAGGGAGAGAAATGAAAATGTAGGAAAAAAAAAGAGAGAACAAGAATGAGAGAGAAAATTGAGATGAAGAGAAGAGGAAGATGACGAGAAAACTGAAAGCAAAAACAGAGCATCAAGACGAGAAGAAAATTGAGCAAGGAGAGAAGATAATTATGGATAGAAAGGAGGCTCCTTTGAAGTAGGAGCAAAAGCTAGAAGCTACTACTAAGGCCAAAGCTGATGCTGAAGCTAAAGAGAGGAAGTTGAAGGCTGCAAAACATAAAAAATGATCTGGCTCTGACTCAAATTTTGACAGTGACAATGAGTATAAGAAGTCCAGTAGAAGATCTCACAGGAAGCATAGGAAGCATTCTCACTCTATCTTGGGTGACCATGATAGAAGGAAAGAGAAGAAATCCAAGAGAAAGGCAAAGAAATGGTCCTCAGAATCTAGTGATGCTAGTAATGATGAATACGATAGTATCTTTGAGGAAGAGAGGAGAAGAAAGAAGAATGCATATCTGAAATCACAAGCTGCTCAGGTAATATTTGAATCATGTCATCTCCCTTAATTTGGATTCATTGATGAACATATATATATATATATATATATTGATAGATATTAAGAGTGTGGACTAATCCAGATGTATGTTTAGACATAAAAAAAATTAGAAATTAAATATTTTTTAATGTAGAATTTAGAACATACTTGAGAGGTGTCTGACAAAAAAAAAAAAGAGAGCCTGTGAAAATATTATTGATCATTTATGAGGTTGATTGTGGTTTGGAGCCTTGTCTATCATGATTATGATCTTGCTAAAAGTTTATGCCAAATCTGATTTTTTTAGAATATATCCTCAAGTCAAAATAATAGTGAATTATCAAATTAATTTATTCTTTCCATTGCCTTTATTTTATAAATTGTTTAGCTAACCATAATATTATGCACCGATTGCAAATGCAAATATTTTGATTATCTATTTGTCATGTGAGATTCTAAGAGTCTCTATAGGCATTTAGAATGATTTTATACCATGTAAATCAATAAGCTTCTATAGGTATAAGGATCAATCTTGTAGGTATTTATATGGGTTCCGAAGGCCCATTATTAAAATTAATTTTTTTATAATAAATATTTAAGTCCCACATGAGATTTCAAAAACTTTCATAAAGAATTAAATTAATTGCCTTATCGTGTAAGATAATAAATCCTCACAGATATCATGATTCACAATTTGTATATATTACATAAACAAATTTTTGTAAATAAAATAATAAACATTTTTTATAATATTAATTAAATAAATTAATAAATTATAATTATAATTATAATTATATTTTCTAATTAGATCTTTTGGTCACATGAGATTTCTGAAACTTCACAGACTTTTATAATAATAGTACTATTGCGTGAGTCAATAAGGCTTCGCAAGTATAACAATCAAGACTTCTATATTAAAAAATATGCATTACATAATTACGCATTAAACTATATTTAAAGTGAATATTAGTTAATTCTTTAATGTGAGACTTTGAATCTTTGCAGACATTTAGGATAATTTCGTATCATGTAAATCAATAAGGTTTCGTAGATATGAGAGCAAAACTTATATGTTAATATGGGTTCTAAAGGCCCATCATAAAAATTAACTCTCTTTTTTATAATCCAAATTAATAATTTATTTAAGTTCCTTATGAGATTTCAAGAATGTTTGTAGAGACTTAAATTAATCACATCATCATGTGGGATAATAAGTCTTCACAGATGTAGTGATTTTTAATTTTTATAATAAATAAATGATTTTTGTAAATAATCATATAATACACAATTTAGAAAATTAATTAACCAAATAATGTATTTAAATTGTAATCACATTTATCAACCATATCTTTTAGTCACGTGAGGTTTTTGAATCTCCGTAGATTTCTAAGATCATCGCATTATTGTATAAGTCAATAAAACTCTGCAGATATAACGATTAAGTTTTTTAAAATATATATATAAATTATATATTAAACCAATTAAATTAAAGATGTATTTAAATAAATTTAATTCTTTTATCGTGTAAGATTTTGAAATCTTCACAGATATTTAAGATAATTATATTACCGTATAAGCTAATAAGGCTTTGCAAGTATGATAATTAAGACTTTTTAAAAATATGTACATACATGCTTAAAAATTATTATTAATACTTAAAAATATACATAAGAATATAAATAAATAAATTAAGTTGCTAAATTCTTTTATCATGTAAGATTTTGAAATCTCCGCAGATATATAGAATAATTGTATTACCATATGAGCTAATAAGGTTCTACAGGTATTGCGATTATATTCTCGATCATAAAATATAAAAATAAAAATAAAAATAATTTTTAAACTCTTTTCTTTTCTTTATTTCAAAAATTCAAAAATTGAAAAAATAATTAAAATTAAATTACTTTTTGCAATTTAAAACACACATATCAAAATTTTAGAAGTTGATTTATTTGCAAAATGCTGAATTATTTTTAATTTATTTCTCTTCAAAAAAAAAATATTTTCACCAACAACTTTTTAGCCCGAACTACGTGGACTTTGATCTCCATCACAGGTTACGTAGGTTTCAAAGTCTAATTTTTAGTCAAGTCCTCCCTCGTAAATAAATAAATATTTCTCACTTAATTCTTATCATTTTTAAACACATGAATATAAAAAGGATAATTAAAATAATTTTAAAACCATATTAATATAGCATAACAAACTTCAGATAACCTTCTCACAAATGGGTGTTGTGGGGTGCCTAACACCTTTCCCACACTCAATCGACTCCCGAACCCATTCTCTGATTTCACAGACTGTAACATCTCGAAATTTTAAGACTCGAATTTATTTTAAAAAAATAAAATAAAATATCTATAATTAAATTAAAATTAAGAATAATTTGATAGAGGTCCAGAGTTTGAATTTTGTTAAGAAAAAGTTGGGTTTTATTTTATTTTTAATTATGGGAAAAATTATCAAAGTTAACCCGGGCTTTTGTGTTATAATAAAAAATATTGGGCCCTTTCTTGTAATTTTTCCCAAAGTCTTATATCAGCATTTTAAAGTGCAAATTAGATACAGAAATGCATAAATGAAACAAGGAAAGGAAACGCGAGAGAGAGAGAGAGAGAGAGAGGAAGAAGAGAGGAGAAAGAGACGGACTTAGGCTTGAATCTAGGAGGTTTTGCGACCGTTGCAAGCTCGGCTACGCAATAGGTAAACTCCTTACTTCAATCCTCTTCCTTCCCTCTTGATTTTCTTAAATTTTTGGAAGATAAAATTTTTAGATTTTGATCCCAAAGGTTTTATTCTTGTAAGCTTTTGTTTCTTTGGATCCTAGGGAGGATGTTTTGAGTTTCTATGTAGTGATCTATTGTTTTAAGTAGATAATTGGACGAAAAGAGGTGTTTTGGGTGCAAATTAAACTTTGAGAGATTGGGTTTTGCTCTTCAATAGTTTAAGCCTACTGATTTAGTTATAATTTTACTATTTGAACTCAATAAGATTTAAATTAAGGTTTGGTTTTCATTATAAGGGCTAACGGTAAAAGTTGGTGACACTAAGTGAAAGTTTTTAATTGATTAAAAATTATATGAATTGGAAACTAGCCTAATGATGGCTAATAAATGATTTTGATAGTTAAGTGATACTATGTGAATGGTTGGTTTAATATATGGACCATTAGGATAGATTATGACTCATTGACCCAAGTTGTGTGGTGTAAGTTATAGTCTTCATTAATGCTATTTGTCATGATAAGTGATATGGATCACTTATATGTTGTAGGAATTGTTGGTGAAACTTATTGAGAAATTAAGGAACAAGCCAAGTCCTATTTTGTAAAAGAGGAAACCCTTTTGGTATTAAAGGGTCGAGGTAACAGGGAAATTTATATTTCTTGTTACTTTATTTTAGCTATCTTTGAATAAATATTACTAGGTATCATGCATTACATGTTTTAAAAGATTAAATGTGCTTTATAAGAGGTTATGGGGTACTACTTTGATTATAGTGTAAATATGTTTTTCTAATTGTTTAACACCAATGTTTTTATGGAAACAAGATTTTGTTTGCATGTATTGTAATTATAAAGAATAGAAGTTGCACTTAAGGAAGTATAAATAAGTAAGGTACTTTATATAGGCTAAGTAACCGTTTAAGGGAGATTTATAAATGTTATACCACCTTAGAGTGTTGAAGTGGTCAATACTCGATAAAGGTAGACACGAATAAAAGGTATGATCTCGGTGGGAGTTCACCAATGAGAAGGTGTGGACCTTTGATATTCTATGGCATACTACCAGTACTCAGTGTTGCCTTACGTATTGTGGGCTCAGTGTACTAAAGTGGTTAGTATATTGAGTGTCGACACCTCTCAGTGGGAGAGGGAATCTGACATATGAAGTGTGAGGTTGAATGCCTAGGCCAAGGTAGCCCTCACATGGAGAGTAAGTCGGGCTGGCTTTGGGAGGGAGTTAGCTTTGACTGCTCAGGATTTACATCGAAGGGGCATAGGCGGTTCGGTAGATTACATCATGCCTTAGATTATGTTTTGTGCCTGTGGAGGTACAAGTAGGTATAAGGTTTACTTGCGAGTTAAAGAGTGCCAGGGGGCATTCTGTTGGTCATGAAAGGCCATACCGGCCTATGTCATGCATTCATACATTTTAAATGGTTAAATTATATACTATGTTGAATTTATTATTCGTTTATTGGATTATGGCTTACTTTGTAATAATTAATGTAGATTTCTCTGTTACTAAGACTGTGCTTGTCTCACCCCTTTCTTTTCAATATTTCCAGGTCCAGGTGAAGGAACCAGTGGAGGACGGGGAAAGGAGCATAGCTAAGGATTGTTTGTGAATTGTAAAGAACTGCAACTCCTTTCTTTTAAGCAAATCTATTGTAATGTATTTAGAATTAGGATGCCAGTAGAATGTGATTATGTATATGTGTGTGAGTGTGTGTGGATTATATGGCTTGTGCATGAATTTTTGTTTGCTTGTAGACTTGTGGCTAGGAAACTTGGCTATGGTGTGTGGTTTTGATGGATTTATTTAGTAGACCAAGTTTTCACTATAAGCAAATATTTATTTTGGTATATATGTGATTCCACAAGCAAATGCAAAGTGGTTGCATTGCAAATAGTGTGCTATGGGCAAACATACACCTTGGATAGAAAGAGTGGGTGCGTGGGCCCCACAGAGATCTCTGAGCCAAGTAAAGATGTTTAGCGTGTGTATTCATATGTGTATATGATATTTGGAATAGTTTTTGGCCACTTTTGTGTGATTTGTGCATTTTGAGGCTTTAGGGTCCATTTTGAGAAATGGCACCCGGGTGGTCAAATTTTGGTATAAAGGATTTTTCTATTGTTTAAATGTTCTATTAGGTGTTTTTAGTCCTATTTGACATGTCCAAAGTATTCTCACAGGTTTGTGACCATTAGGATGAGATTTGGATAATTTTGAAAATGGCTTTTACCAAAAATGTACTTTTGCATCCGGGTGTCCA